ACCTGGTCTTGCCTAGGGGGCAAAATAGTCTAGCACGGCCCCTGCATACACCCTATATACATTTTTTTTAAAAAGAGCCACATTAGTGACACTAAACTCGGGTGCTTAATGCATTTAAGATTTAGGAACCTTAACAAATCTTGTTACTTGGCTGTAGATCGTCAAACCTGAATTTGTTCCGACACTGTCCTTCCTTCTGGAGGGGGGCTACGTCTGTTCCCCATGATCCCTGTGTTGTAAGTAGTCACTGCTCGAAGCTCACTCCCGGGATGTCTCGTTCAGTTTATTAATTGGAATGGGAACAAAAGCAGCCACCCTCCGGAAGGACGGACAGTGTCAGCACCAATTCAGAGATGATTTGAGGATCTACAGCCAAGCGAGACAAGTACAGCATTAAGGTACTTTAATGCATTTTCAGTCAGTACAACAAAAAGGTGAGGAAGGCATCAGAGCGGCAACACCCGGTCTGGTCATAGCCATCCTAACTTGAGATTCTCCCCTCCCAATATGCAACAGTGATGGGAAAGCTCTCCAATGGGAGAGACACTAAAGACTGAAAGGTTTTAAATTTAAGACTGTGGCAAATCAACTCCTAATGGAAATAATTTATGCATTTTTTTTTTTTTTTTTAGTAAAAATTTAAAGCGATTCGGAGTAATTTCTTGATAACCATGTCCAACTTGAGAAGCCCTCCAGTTATAAATCAAGGCATGGAAACCCCTGCAATTTGCAATAATGCTCGCAGATTAAAATGATCATTGTAGTGTAGAAAATTCTGTCCACACCATTACCTCAGACAGTGCCACCTACAGGTGAACTTGTTGCCTATGGCCAATCTGACATTGCCAATTGGCAAATGTATGTGTTCTAGGCATGGCACCAGCTACTGTATTGCATATGTACCTCAGCTCGCTGTCTCTTGAGATCCTTCTAGGAAAATCTTTCCAGAGGGCACGCAGTTCATTCTCGTAGAGGAGATCCCCACCTACAAACTGCAAGACGTTTGGTTAAACACATGGGCGCAAAAATTGTTGTAGATTATTCCTTTAAAAAAAAAATCAAACTTTTACCCTCATTTTTGTGCCACACTCCTTCAAAGAGAATTTGAATTCAACCATGCCGGCAGTCTTATTTGTCGGCTTGCATTGACCGTCTCCCAGAATCACAGTATCCACGTTCAGACTAGGTCTTGTTTGCAGTGACAACACCTGAACAGTCATAAAGCCATCTTTTGAGCAGAAGGGATCACCTAGAAAAAAAAAAAACAAACGTTCTAGAATTCACAATGCTGACTTCTAAAAGCTTTTCTCAAACAAAATTCAGCATTTTTTTGACACCAGGGCTCTTCCAAATGTATGTGATGGTTTAGCATCAGCCAACTCACCAGAAATTAAGTTGATAATACAATCTCCAGTAAGACTCATTGCCACGATAAAATCATCCACCATGAAGATCAGAACAAGAGAAGGCAAGTAGAATCCCCTCAGGCCAGTGATTGGCAATTCCTAAAGACAAAAACAGGGCCGGTAATTAGATGAACACAGACAATAACCATTTTAGTGCCGAACGGTAATGTTCACCTTTAGCTGCTCCTTACCTTTAGATTCTCCTTACTGATAGTAACGTTGGTCCCGTTGCTAAGGTCAACTGATAACCCGTGTTTTTGAAGTGCAGCACCACTATTGCGTATTGGAATGGCTACATTGCCAACGTCAATGAACTGTAGAGTGCCATCAAACGGAGGAATTGAGATGTTCATATGGGTATTGTTGCACGGGAAAGGCCCTGCAAGACCAGCAAAAGGTTACTTATGACATGTAAACAGCCGTGTATCTTTTCTAGGCAATCCTTAATTTTAAATGGTCCTACCTACACCACAGGACTGTTTAAAAATCACTGCCTGTATCTCAACTTTATTTTTTAAAGCCCAACATATAAGGGCCTAGAGTTTAGTTACGTGGCATTTGCATTAAATTCTTAAGTGTTACTGTTAAGCTTTACTAATCTACCAGACACACCACATGTGAGAATGCATTAGCCATTTATAACAGTGCAGCACTGTGCCTTACTTCCAACCTTCAGCTTCATCCAAAATAAGCTCACCTTCTCCTATCAGCACTTGCCACTAAAGCTAAATGTAAGTGTCATATCTAAACATCTACTGAAAAACCAAGTCTCAGAATATGCCTGTTACCTCATGAAATTGTCATGCTTATTACATAGAAATGCCCAAGGTCTACCAAATTGCATGACTGTACACAAAGCTAAGCATTTACTAGGAGCATGCCAAGGTTTTGAATTCCTAATAGAGGAAAAGCATGTAGTAAAGTTGAACTTCAGGGGGAAAAACAAAAAACAAAACCATGCTACAAGAACCATTAAACATCTACCAACCAGCAGAGGCACCTGAATTAATATCCATGCCAGGAAAGGGTTGCAACATGTGCATTTCTATAGTTGAAAATTGAGCATTGAAGTGAATTGAAGGCATCTAGGAGGGACTGGCCATAACCCTTCACAGCTAGATCTCCAAAGTGCATCACAGCAATGCCCAGGCCATTTACTAGCCCTGCCCCTCTCCTCCACTATCAAGCTCACCTGGCTCATAGCACTTGCACCCTTCCACCCCCCAAAAAACCCAAATGTTTTAGACATGCCAACTACATAAAGTGTCACATCAATATACAGTTACCTTTGACACATCTAATCTTCACATCAATTGTGATTTTTGGGTTAATATTTGTCAGAATGAGCCGAATGTCTCCTTGGTAAAAAATTTGGCTATCGCCCTAGAAAGAAACAATAGTTAAAAAACTGAGGGTGACAAAAATTCAGAGTTAGGACTTACCGGTAACTCTATTTCCATTAGTCTTCCAGGACAGCATCACGAGATGGAATCTCCTCCCCCACACACAGGAAACACGTCACTTAATCTGCTTAAAAGACCCTCCTCTCCTCCACTCCCTCAGTCATCACGAGAACCGAAGGCAAGCTGGAAAAAGACAAGGCACAAACAGGCAATACCACTACATCACATTAACACTACAAGCATCAATGGGCGGGCAGTTGCTGTCCTGGAAGACTAATGGAAATAGAGTTACCGGTAAGTCCTAACTCTGAATTTCCCATAACGTCTTCCAGGACAGCATCACGAGAGGATAACCAAGAACTTACCAATTAGGGCGGGACCACAGCTTGTAGTACCTTCCTGCCAAATGCCTGATCCCCTGCGGTATTGAGATCTAGGCGATAATGCTTTGCAAAGGTGGAGAAACTTGACCATGTTGCCGCCTTACAAATCTGTTCCGGCGTAGCACCAGCTCGTTCGGCCCAGGACGTTGCCAAAGCTCTAGTTGAATGTGCCGTCACCAAAGACGGGGGAGGAACATTTAATACTCCATAAGCTTCCATAATGGCCTGCCTCAACCACCTAGCTAAGGAGGATCTAGAAGCTTGCTTCCCCTTGGACCCACCAGAGAACAGCACAAATAGTGATTCAGATCTCCGGAAGTCCTTGGAAATCTTCAAGTACTGGAGCAAACACCGCCTCACATCTAAACAGTGAAAACCTGATTCCCTGCTCCCTACTGGTTTGGGACAGAAAGTAGGTAGAATGATCTCCTGCACCCTGTTGCACCTCGAAGCGACCTTTGGCAGAAAAGCCGGGTCTGTTCGAAGGACAACCCGATCCTCAAAAATAGACAGGAACGGTTCCTTAATGGATAGGGCCTGGAGCTCACTCACCTTACGAGCAGAAGTAATAGCTACCAAAAACAGTTTTTAAGGCAAGGTTCCTAAGTGAGACCTTATCCAGGGGCTCAAAAGGAGCGGCTGTGAATGCTGTCCTGGAAGACGTTATGGGAAATGAGAAAGGTGAAAGTGAACCTCCATCTAGGACTTACAAGCCCACGTATTCCTGAGGCATTGTAACGGATCTTGAACTTAAGGTTCTGCTCATCACTTGTCAAGTCGTATCCATAAGTTCTGGCATTTGCCACGCTAACCGTCTTCTTTTGGGCTCCATCATAGATTGTTACCAGCCAGGTTGACACAGGTGGTTCAGCAACAGTCTAAGATTTGTAAAAGCAGCATTAGTCAATTTTCCCTGATACAATATAAGAGACATGAAATACCTGCTTTGGAAAGTTGGAAGTGCCCCGTTTTGGATAACTGGAAACTGCCTTTGCAGAATAAACCCACACACACTACTTATGGAGGCAGTCTCGTGTGTGCGAGTGCGACCCGTCACCCATTTTATAGTGAGGGGGTTTGCACATGGTAAAGCCCCCATTGTTGACCATTCAACGCCAGATGGCCTTCGTTATTCCGTCACTCCATCTCTATAGGTTGAACTTAATGAACTTGTGTCTTTTTTTCCCCCCACCTGACTAACTTTATCAATGCTTCTCATAGTTGTTCCAGTTTTTATTGGAATAAAGGGGGATTTTTCTGAAATGAATGGGGTGTATGTCAGTCTAGCAGAGAAAGCTACATTAAAAAAAAACGTTAATAACTAGACACTGAGATGAAGTCCTTGTAGTAATTTAGATTACCGTTTGATATCATACCTCATCACTGAAGCCAGGGACAATACGTGACACATTTGCCTGTGGGGGAAACAAAAAAAGTTAGTTCTGTACTCTATAGATTTGTTTACTGGGATTTAGTTGGTTATGTCTGAAGAAAGCTGTTAAACTAATTTAACCAAGTCCTAGTCTGAAATACTACCCTGAGGATTCTGAAATTGACAATGCCATCCCCTTCCCAGCCAGTCTGTCATTGCACTCTAATGCTGTTGCCACCTGTGCATACTCTACGGCCTCAGACTATGCCGTCACCTAGGGATGGGCAAATCTGTCTGGGTTCAATATCCAGCAAAGCTGAGCTTAGGAGGTGAAATATATTGAAGTATATAGGGGAGCAAGTTATTCCTGGCCATTTTTAGATACTGAACACCCCCCCCCCAAATAGGACTGTTTGTTGCATGCACTGGAGGAAAGAGAAGTGTGGAAAGGGGGGGGGGGCAGTGGCATACACAACATAGTCCACCACACTGCAATTCACTATTACGTAGAACATAGCACTCAAAAAGAAATCCAAGACACATCCTCCCTCACAAGAACTTTGTCAGCATTTTAGGTCACCCCTCCCCCCTTGCATTAGGACTGTTCCTGCACTGCAAAGCTTAACATTTGCCTAGGGGACAGAAGTGGAAACAAAATTGCATCTCCTAGGCATAAACAAGCAGTCAGTTAACCCTTGCAGTTGGTGGCATCCCTACTGGAAAGGAAACCAATTTCCCTGGAGATGGACTCTAGCATAACCCCAGCACAAGACAATGAGGCAGTCAGTCGATATCAACCTTTCTAAAGTGTTAGTTGTCCAGCTAGGTCACCAGCTACTAGGCTGCCCACTAGCAATACTATGAGTTGTTTAAAAAGGTATGCAGGAAAGTCCAAAAGCCTCATCTGCACTTGTTACCCATTCTTCAGAATAGGAGTCATAGGGAGCATCCATGTTGCTGACCAGTTTACAGTGCAGTCTTTTGGATTTCTTAAACTTTTACCCTATAAAGAGCATTTGCTTTTCTCTTTTGAACATCTGCAATCTAAAAAAACAAAATGGATGAAACCCATGTGGCCAGAACACCCAGCTTACCATTATGAAATCCTTGTCACATTGAACTACTGCTCCACCATAAGAAGAGTCAGCCTGGTAATCATGGCATGCAATCTTGTAGACTAGATTCTCAATAGAAACATAAGCAGTTTTTCTTCCAGCCTACAAGAGAAGAGTTTCATTATGACAACCTTTGGATACAGCTCAGGCAAGCTTACAAAACCTGACTGCTCTTCAAAGCATCTTAATCCACCGTTGTTAGTCAAGACTGAAATTCACTCAGTGCCCAATATTTTAATGCAAGTTGTGGGCACAGCAAAGAAAATTTACACAGGCATCTGCCTTAGCTTTAAGTAATGGTAAACATTTCCTGCACTTACCCATAATTTGTACAGATCACATCATTTGTGCATGTAAAATTTATGTAGCCACATAGGAGCCGATATCTAGAGAAACCCAAGTGTTTGCCTTTACCCTGAACTAGTCTATTAGACATAATATATGTAGCACCCCCTTAAATTCCAGAGCAGGGGCAGTCACGCTCAGCACTCCAGCTGGGGTGAAACTACAAATTCCCCATCATGCTTCTGCTAGTCATGCCTGTGGCACTGTCTTTCAAAGTCTTAAAGCACAGGTTCTCACCCACAGCTGGGGTGCCAAGGTTGCCAACCCTTGCCCTAGAGCAGTGCTTCTTAAAGTGTGGGTCGTGACCCCCATATGGGGTCCTGCAAGTGAACAGGGGGGGGGGGGGGGGATCTGAGTCCCCGGCCGGGCCC